TTGCTACAAATTGTTTAAGGTCCTGTTTTACTGCATGACACACACAGTCAGCATGCCTGAGGATGCAGGAAAAATTTTAACTCTTAATTATCTTGTGTCAATAAGTGCCACAGAAACATTCTGTAGCCAAACCCAGATTTGCTGCGTCTTAAAGGGTAGGTGGCGGCTGACAAACAACCAGTGGAAAGAGCTGGTTTTTGTGGATGTCCAGTTAATACTAGTTGGAAACAGAAAGGAGTTTACCACACCCATGCACAAAGCCAAGAAATTATCTGTTTGAGAAGAGCAGCATCACCTTTATAGGCCACCAGATTCCAGCTATTTTTCCATTGTCTTTAAACGCTAAAGAGCTCAGGGCTGTTCGTTTCTATTAGAGCATAGCATACCTGGCAATGAAATCAGGTCCTCAAATCCCTGATACCCCTTAGAGTCTCATACTGTTTTCTTATGCTTTGTGGTAGTATGGCATCTTAAAGATTATGTTCAAGATTTTCTCCTATCTAAGAGCTTCCTCCTCCTTGGGAACATAATGTGTTCAAACCAATGTACTCTCCTTTTAATCCTCTGGTACAGGAGGGGGCAATGCTTTTGGGCAGAGTGCCAAAAACACCCACAACCTTGATTTCTAAGATTTTGGTGTGCCAGGGGTGGGTGGTAGAAAGCTGTGAGGGGCCCGATCCTTGTTGTGGCAGCACAGGCCCAGCTACTTCTGTGCTGTCTGCCTCAAGGGGCGCATGCCAAGCAAAATGTCTTTGCATGCCGTGGTCTGGCACACATGCCAGGGGTTGCCTACTCTAGGATTATACTAACACTCTCACTTGTCTCAATGTAAGAAAATAAACAACCTGGTTCAATTTATTTCCTTTCCTACACTTTAGTCCAACCAAGGAAAAGGCAGGTTGCACATGATTGCAGTTTTTTCATTGTAAGTATACCTGAGACTAGTGTTTTCCATCTATCTTATAGTCTCTGAGGAGTTGCCTCCTACATAAGGACTATGACTCAAAGAAGTCAAAATGATGGCTTATCCCACAGTAACTGTGGTTCTTTGAGATGTTTTGACCATATGTGTTCTGTGACCCATACTCTGTTGCTACAGTGGGATCCTGTAACATCTAGATTCTTGGCTGAGAAACTGAAGTAAGTCACTTCCTATGGTTGAGGGCATCTCTAGCTCACACCATAGGTGTAGGCCCAACATGTACTGGTGGCCAAAAATAGAGCAATGGTTCTCAACTAGGGTACCATGGCATCTGAGGTGCCTTGAGATCCTTTCATGGTGTTGCAGGGTGCCATTCTATTAGCACTGTTAGGTGTACAGATATGCACAAGAAACTCAAGAGATTTCAAAGAGGAATCCATAGTGTCAAAAATATCCTGAGCTGTTGTGATCTTTTTAAGTTCTTTGCAACACAAGAATTGCTCTACTAGTTTTCTGTAGTCAAAAAACAAGTGAAAACTAAAGGGCTGGTATTTTTTGAGGTGTGTCTTGAGCTTAAAAACATTGAGAACCAGTGGTTTAGGGTCTAACTCACATACAGTGCATGTGTTCCAGAAGCATAATACCTGTGGACAGTAGGCCTGTGCGAATAAGCAGCTATTCGATTCGGCTTCAGATCTGGCCGCTTTGGATGCCAGGGATCCAGTCCAGAGCTCCAGATCGGTTTCCTGCTTTGACTTGGCTAAAGCAGGTCCAGAGATCCGGCCATAGGGTATAATGGGGAATCAATGAAATATCTATAACATTGTTGTTTTTTGTCTGATTTGGATTAAACTTGCAGGGGTGGTAGCCTCTGTTGAGAGCATGAAGCCTGCCAAGTTTCAAGCAGATAGGTGCAGGGGTTTGTGGGGAACTGCACCTCAAGCTGCGGACAAGCAAAACTCGTGACATGAGTGACACTGTGTTAAGGCGCAGCAGGATGAAAACTGCAGGCCTGCTAGCCCCTGCTGCAGCCACAAAGGCTGGCAGCTGTCAAGGTCAAGGAGATAGGTGCAAGGGTTCTGGGGCCCTGCACCCCTAGCTGCTGACAGGAAAAACTCATGACATGGGTGCTTGTGCAGCTGACTCTGGCTTGGGGCAGTTGATTGTATGTATTGATTATTTTCTCTCCTTAGTCTGTTTTTGTAGGTGTTAATCCTTGCTAATTAACTCGTTATCTAGTAGCTACTAGTTCCCCCAAACCCCTGCAGCTATCTTCTTGAAACTTGGCAGGCTTCATGCTCTCAACAGAGGCTACCACCCCTGCAAGCTTCATCCAAATCAGACAAAAAACAACAAAGTTATAGATATTTCATTGAGTTCCGCATTATACCCTAAGGCCCGATCTCCGAAGTAGCTCTGAAGCTTTTCCGAAGTAGTTCGGAAGCTCCGAATCGCTTCAGAAAGCCTAAAGAAGCCAGCACTTCAATCCGGACATGCTGCTTCGGACACCAAAGCATCCGAATCTTCTCCGGATCCAAAGCACAGTCCAAAGCCTCGCACAGCCCTAGTGAACAATACTGAATTTTGTAGGCTGAATGAGTCTTCTCGTTTTCATTAAGCTAAAGAATGAAGGTGAGGCACACTTCTTTTACTGTGATGACCTGAAACATCTAGGGCCTTTAGAATTAATTTCGTTTTGGACAATTAACTGTTAGTTACTTGAAATGAGCATTTTTTTTTTTTTTTTTTTTTTTTTTTTAAAGAATCACAAAGTTTTATTTGTGCATCTAGGAGCTTCCTGGTTTAAACCATAAGGACAATCATCTGCTGGGAGCAAAATCTCCAGAGAAGCGACCATGTTTCCATAAAGTGAAAACCTACAATACAATATTTAGTCAAAATGCAACTTGCAATTTTGCTACTTGGAAACATACCAGTGAACATCAGATTCAGGGATTACACAGCAATGGTATGTGATTTGTCTTGTGGAGATCCTGAAGAATTTTATATGATATTTTTTAATAATTTATGTTGTATGGTGAATTTTTTTTATGATACTACTACTTTTTATTTCATGGAACAGTCAGTTCAGAGAGCAACCAGTTCATCTCAGCTGAACTGATTGTGCTAGCCACATCTAGTATCTTGACCTAGTACAGGGGTTCCCAACCTTTTTATGCTGAGGACCAGCAAACTGTGGACCAGCCGTGACCAGCATACTGTGGGCAGGCAGCCAACCCTTCTTTATACTCAGTAGGGTTGGCTGCCAGTACACAATACACTGGTCACTTCCAAGCTGCAGTTTGCCCATCTGTGGTCACTTCCAGTCTGACATCCAACCCTCCTGTGGACTGGCAGCCAGCCCAGCAAACCCCATGGCGCAGGGGTTGGAAACCCCTGACCTAGTATCTTCAGCTCCTTTCTGAAACTGGAGAGGCTGTTGGCTAGCATTTTTCCCTTGAGTTCTTTCTGTGAACTGTGGTGGCTTCATATTGTTCCAAAAGCTTGGCTGGAGGTTCAGCTTCTGGAGAAATATCCTTTGAGCAGACAGAGTTTATATTCTAGTTACTTTAGAATCATGGACCTTGAATATACTATCTTATAAATTGCAGTACCCCAAACTAGTGTTCAGGTTTTATTGTGTATGAGCATGTCCTGTGTCCAGTTTGTGTGAATAAAAATCATCAAGGGAAGCCATTGTCATTATCTTCAAACTTACTAAGCTTAGAGTTTATCAAGTAATGCTTAGAGTAAACTTTTCAAATCTTGTAACTGCAGCTCTTTGTAGCCCATTGCCCATAGCATATTTTCCTTGCTTGGTACTAGTGTTTCTAGTTTCCCCACTCCCCACCAGATTTCATCCAGATATGGAGCCTCAATGCATAACTTAAGATTTTATCCAAGTAATAGTGCATGTCCTTTCAAAATATCTGCTGCGATTGCCAGGTACACTTGAATGGTTGCTAATTACTAAAGGTGCTGTTAAATAATAGGGAAGAGTGATTAACATAACACTTTCCACCCCTTCTTACTTTTAGCACAGCCTGTTCCTGGACAGGCTTGAAGTATGTTTTTTGCCCTCCCTAGTCTGGTCTAGCTTATCACAGCACAGGATAGGAGTACAAAATGTGCTCCTTCCTCTTTTTTGACCCTTTCACATCTAATTCATAACTAAACTAGTACCACCTTAACTCCCTATCCTGTGGGATAAGTCTCCCTGATTACGTGACTACATCCTGGCTGATAGTTCATGGTCGTGCTCTCGTTCTCTTTTGCTAGTTAATGTCACTGTAAGGCCTTCTTTAAGCTGACCCTTTGTTTCAGTTCATTTCTTGATAAGTTTACTTTTCCTTGTCTTCCATGCAATAGTATTCTGGAGTACCACTTTGGAAATAGTGAACTAGTTTTAGTTGCCATTGCACAGAAGTCATTGTTTGGTTGGTTAATTACCTTACTTACATATCACATACTCCCAAATTTTGAAGGAAAGGTTCATGTTTTAAGCAGGGAAGTTGATATTTCCACACTGTGCTGGAGGCACTAAAATGGCTGCCAAGCACTGCACTCTTCTCATTTTTCTGGCTATATGCGGCAGGGGTGGGGGCTTAAGCACAGTTCTGCTGTCAGAGTCCCTAAGTCTCACAGGAGCTGCACAGCTTTAAGTTTAATATTAATCATAGCCAAACTGGCAGTAGTTTTTAAAGCTGTGTAGCATGGATCATTCAACCATGGTGGAGTCCTTGCTTTAGCAGGTAAGATCCTAGAGACTTTTTTGTCATGCTGCTTTCCTAGTACAATGTGTATGTTTTACTTGAGAGTACAGGTATGCAGGAAAATATGGTTTCTCATTTGTTCCTGCTAGTTAACTTTCAGTACTCCTTGAATATAGTTCGAATTTTTCAGTGAATTGCACAGTGCCCTGTACTATCCCTTTTAGCAAAGTAATTGGCTAATTATGTTATCCCTAGTACTATCAGAAAATGTCTGGGGCATCACTTTCCTTTATGGAATTCCACAAAGATCTTTCTATCTATATCTTTCCTGTTTAACAGCTGCTCTACCTCCAATCCATCTTTCATTCATTATTAAGACCACTATATCACTTCTGACCTTTAATTTACCTCCCGTGCCTCACTTCACAAGTTTTAGAGATCATGTTATCAAGTCTTCTGCAAAATTGTTGATATTTTCAATACCTCATATGCTGAAACTTGTGTCTGTTTTTCTTGCCTTCACGTGATAGCTGCTTTATCTATAGCAATTCCTGTCTCACTTCTCTGGCCTACAATATTTTCAGGAAAACCTGTCATTACCAAGTGAACCACTTTGGTATCTGTATAGAGCAGCTTCACTATTTTGATACAGAGTGAACTTAATTTTGGAAGCTTCCTATGGACTTTCTCTTGGAGTGTGCAAGGTGTCTGCATTTGCTTCAGGGTGTGACTTCCAGAACACTGCTGAGAACCATGCCCCATCTCTGTAAATCCTGTTCAACATATGCCCAAACCCAGAGGTTAGGGCAAGGTAGGTGGTCCTGAGCATACACCCAGAACCACTTTCAGGCTCGTGCTCTAAGCTGTGCTTCTAGGTGTTGTGATTCAGCCACCCTAAATCACATAGTGCCTAATATCTGGATTTGGGGGCATGGTAAGTATGTGGGAGTACACAGGGTGTCAGAGTAGACACCCTCAGGTGCATCTTAACCCTTTGCTTGTGCAGTACTTTCCCTCTATACAAAATCTAAATTGTTGGCTAGGTACTTTCTTCCCACATTTGTCTCAGTTCTCTTCTTTGCATTGACTTGCTTCTATTTTATCTGTCTCATCTACAATTTGTATAACAAATGCTATATGCAGTGTTGTACCTGTATTGTATCAAGGGTAAAAAAATTAAGACAGACTGAGGAAAATGAACAGTAGCCATGACCACATAGTAAAATCCTAAATGAATAGTGGGGGCTCAATGAGACCAGTCTTTCCCAAAGTAAAGTTCCTCTATAGCAAAGTTTCTGTTACTATTAAAATGCTGCAAATGGGGGTTCACTAGAAAGCATTTAATTGCACCTAATTCACAGTAGACTACTAGTAATCCAGAACCTGTAAAACTGTGAATCAGTAAATATACAGACTTGATTAGGTTAGGTTTCTGAATGCCACCAGATTTAAATACGAAAGAATAGTATCCTAAATGTCACTTCAGTCTACTAGTGAAAAAAAGTTTAGAATTTAGCCTTAGCAGATCATGAGTCTTATCAGAAGTTTTTGTCCAAAAAACAACCATCAGAAAGGTATCAGTTCCTCTCTAGAATACTTCCAGTAAAGTATTCTCTCTCCTTTCCCCCACCCCCTTTTTCTTTTTATAGCAAGTATACCTAGTCCTAGGACTCTGGATGGGATATCTACCTGTCATTCCATGCAACAACCTACAGAAATGCCTCTCTAAAACTGATTAGACCATGGAGGAGTTAGCACATCATAAACCTACAAATGGAATTAGTTTCTAGGTTGGAGCATTGCATCAATTACATTATGAACACTTGAAAGATATGTGAAAAATGATTTTTTATGGCAATAAAACAGTGCCTGAAGTGAAAGCTGTTTAGGCAGACTAGTGTAAGGAATGTAATTTAATTACAGAAAGCTGCATTGTTTTTATTACCTCAGAAGTGATAACTCTGGAAAAATGTATATAGAAATTAAACAGGGAATTTTCTTACTACCAATAAAGTGTATGCCCTGTTTTTTTCAAACTTGATGTTGCAATTTTTTTTTTTTTAATGACTTGGTTTTGAAATGTGTTATCAAATGGATATACTTTTCAGAGCTTCCAATATCTTTCAAACTTCAGGGTTAGTTTAAACAGTCTATGCATTATATAATGATATAGTACAGGGATTGAAAAATACACTGAACTAATGTGCTGGACCACTTATGCTTAGTCTTGAAACTGTGCCACATCCCCAGAAACTGTTCTACTGAGCCACTGATGGAGACAGGTCTGATCACAAAATATCATGGCTATATAAAGATACTTTATACCATGCAGGGGGTTGGACTAGATGACCTCTGGAGGTTCCTTCTAGCCCTACTTCTCTAGGACTTTTTTGAAAAAATGCTGCTTTTTTGTGCTATGAAAAGCAGCATGTCATACAGTCAGAAATAACATTTGCCATTTTACTTACCACTTCTGCTTCTCGAATTAGAAACTACTCTGTTAAAACAGTCTAATGTTTCATGTGATTTGAAGACAGGGATTTCTTTGATGTATTTTTTGTGATTAACATCAAATGGATACTCATGTGCACACCCACATCCATTCACCCAGTCCCCAGTGTAAGATGGGAGAAAAGGGGAAAGAAGATGATCAAAGTTTTGTTGTGGCAAAGCTGGATTTCTGACCTAAACTAGGCTTTGAGTCCCATTGGTAGATCACTATGGATGCTTTCAGGTCAGATTTTCTTTTCAAAGCATACTGTCCCATACCAACCATCAAATTTTTCCCTGTACTGTCGGTAACTTTTAGACTCCTCAGTATGAAATAAAGGAGATTAAGAATGTGGTTTTACCATTTAATGTTACATTTTGTTGAATTCTTTTTATCTGCATATTTCAGGATCAGAAGTTTTAAGTAGTTTCAAAAGAACAAAACAATCACTAACATTGTTTGTTTACTTCATAAAATAAACAACTGAAATAGCACAATTGGGTGACTAAAATAATTTGTAAAAACTGTGTGTGTTATCTGTCCTGTTTTAAATTAGATTATGGCAAGAAGAAACTACAACTATTTATTTTCCTTTTTTAAAGAGGAAAAATCCTTATTAAATATTTTGAATTATGTTTTTAAGTAATCATTTAATCTAGATCTACTGTATAACTTAACTGCAGTAGTCTTGTGACCATCGCCTTCATCTAGTTTTACTTAAGCATATGGCTGACACATTGCACAAAACTGTCATTGTTTACATTTAAGAAAAAAAAAGTTTTAGCAAGGATTTTTATATTATGAATGACTGTATAATTAAATGATTGAATATAATAAAGACTTATTTCTCTTAAATACCTAATGTGTTTTGGATACTTTGTTGCAAGTGTTATATTATAAATCAGACTATTTTAATACACACATGCTTGAGAGAAGAGATTATATGCGCGTGGAGGGTGGAAAGAACCATTTGAATTAAAGCTGATTTTGGTCTGACAGTTGCCTGGTATGGAAGGTACTGGGGTTTGGTTTGATGTTTTTTACCTTAGAGCACTACATTCAACATGGGGGTTCATGAAGATCATAGCACGAGTGGGCAAAATACGGCTCATGGGCCAGATCCAGCCTGCTGATTGTAGCTGTCCCCACAGTGCTCCACATGAGGCTAAGCCCCATCTATTCCTGCCCACACCAGCCCCACTGACAGCCCTGGCCAGCATTCACAGCTTCCTGGCAGCCTGGGTACTGCTCAGCTCCCCCAACCTCCAGTGGCTCTTTCTCCTGCCTACCTACTGCACAGAGCAGCACAGCAGAGTGCAAGAAAGCAGCAGCAGCTGTGGGGATGCGTACCAGGTACATGCCCAACCAGGCAGCTCCTGCCCCAGTGTGTGGGGCTCCAGCTCCAGGCCACCTGCCACTCACCCTGCAGGATGATCAGTCACCCGGGGGTAGCCAAGAGCTGGAGTTGTGGTACTCAGCAGGCATGCCCATGGCTGCTGTTGCTTCCCCGTACTACCTGCTGTTCAGAGTAGTACAGCTGGGGCAGGAGGAGCTGAGCAGTACCTTGGCTACCAGGAAGCTGTGCGTGCTGGCAGTAGGCACAGGGCAGGAGTAAGTGGGGCTAGGCCCCATGCAGAGCCCTGGGGAGCCAGTTGTGGGCTGGGGAGGGCAGACTGCACCACCCAGGTGAGTTCTGCTGCACATGCCCCCTGCCCCTTCCCCCTGGTCAGCTCCTAGGACCTAGTATGCAGACAGTCCCTGCCCTCATCTCCCTGCCTCCCCTAGAGATCTACACCCACACACAAAATATACAGGAGTAAGACTTTATTTTGAGCTCATATGCAATCGCCTCTATATACGCTACTCAAATCAGGACAAAAAATATTTTAAATAAAATTAAAATGTCATAGATGTTTGATTTTTAGTAGAAGATGTTTTTTTATCTATAATATGTTAAAAAGATTAGAAAGATTTTGCATGTGCAGCTTCACAGTTCACCAGAACTCATTAAGTGGCCCACCAGCCAAAATAACTGCCCTCTTCTGCCATAGATTCATAGATGTTAGGGACTGGAAAGGACCTCTCAAGATCATCAGGTCCAGCCCCCCTGTGCTTGGGCAGGAAAGACTTATGGGGTTAGATGACCCCAGCAATGTGTGCATTCAATCATTTTTTTGAAGGTATTCAGAGTAGGTGATTGTACCACTTCTGGGGGGAGTTTATAATATGTCATAGTGCATATTATAAGTTACTTTCATTATTCATTTACTTTTAAGCATACCTGCATGTTGTAGCCTTTGCAGAAGCTTCTTTTGGAAGGAAGGGGCTGCTTGTTATGATTCCCCTCCCCCCCCC